CTTCGACTCTTCGAGTCACGAAGAAACTCGGAAATGAACGATTTCCTCCAAAAAACAAGTTGGAAAAGCCGGTTCTCTAGATTCTAGGAGTATCGAGGGGTGCGTGACGGCAGGGTGCGCGCCGTACCGTAAACAAATACCGGAACGGCGGAGAGGGGAGGGAGCGAGGGTTGTCGGAAAGGGGGGGAGCGGGCGAGGGAGAGGAAGCAGGACCGACAGTGGATCCACGGAGGGCGAAGGGTACGCTCCCGTCGAACGAAATTCGAACGGACATTTTCGGAACAGGTAGTACGGGCCGGGCAAACCAGCGGTGCCCGACGCGACGAGGGAATGCCGATGCACTTTGAAGAACCTCCGGTTCTGCCTTGGTTATTCCTACACTTTTCTCATCGTTTTCGATGCGTCTAAGATTGACGGGCACGCTTTCGAGAAACGGGTAGCAAGACGGAGTGATTTAAAAAAGAGCCGTTCCAGGCCCCGAGTTCGTCGAAAATGGAGAAGCCGGCGACGTTACGGCAGCAGGGCCCGGAAAATTGAAAAAGGAAGGCGGCACTCTGCCCAACGTTGTTTCTTGTACGGGGGAAAAAAAAGCGAACGATAGGAAAACGTCTTTTATGGTTGACTTCTCCGCATAACCTGATGGCAGCCGTCGTTGAACACGCTCTCGCGGGAACGCGCGAAGAGACGGGGAGAGAAAGGTCCGAGGCGGCGCGGCCGTCGCCGACGGAGACGGAGAAAAGAAGCGCTATGCGCCGGCGTCGCGGTCCGCAACCTGTTGCACGACGACGTTTCGCGCGTGTCGCGACGCGACCGGCGAGCGACGTCGCCCGGGAACCGGCGAAAGAGACTCACCGTAAGTCGAAGGTACCCAGATCACCAGGAGGAGCAGAGCGAGGAGCGAGCCTGCCTCGAGGAGGCCGCACGGAGCGTAATCCAAATTTCGGCGGGGCCGCATGTCGCGTCTCGGGGTCTCGTATCCACAGCCACACGCGAGGCGAGGGAGGCACACACATCAGAGACTCGTCAGCTCCGGCGCGAACACACCGTCGAGCTCAGCTCACGCCGTGAGCGCTCTTCCCATCACTTGACGCACATCCCAGCTCACGTCGCGCGCGCTTCCCTGCCGATATCGCCGGACCGAGTGTGTTCGCGCCCGGGGACCGCACCGAGGACGAGGACGAGCGAGCACCGGAAAAAAAGACAACGCGCGGGACCCATATACGAACACGACCGCGTCCGAAACACGTCTGGGTTCTATTGTTCGCTTAACGCACGGAAAGTAGTCCCCAGTGCGCGCGCACCTGCCCTCGGACTGGTATTACTGCGCCGGCGCACGGCGGCGCTCCTGGCGCCCATGGCGCCCGGCTCCGACCAATCGCGCGCCGGACACATCGGAACGCGGACCGACGCGGTCGAGTTTTCCCCTGGGACCGGGAGTGAATTTTAAATCGACGGAAATGTCTCGGAGGGACTACCTGTGTGCTTCGTGAACACTCGTGAGACGTCCTCTGAAGCCATTTATACCAGAAATTTATCGCATCCTGTAATCGCTCGGGCTGGATCTACTTTTCGACGCTCGGAAACTATGGGTTCTGCTCGAGGATGATCCCTGGAAGACATCCATGGAAAGTCCTCGGATGGTTGTACTTTCTTGGCTTTTCTTTTTAGTTTTCAGGCTTTCCATTAGTCTCGACGTATCGAAATGTTATCGAGACCACGAATGGAATTGTTATTTCGATACTCTTCCTTCAGCGTTCCGGTAGAAAAATCGGTTGCAGTTTCATTTTATATAGGCACGGTTAAGGTATGTACTGGAGTGTTGTTCCTATCTTGTTCGCCATTTGTAATTAACTTTTTTAACGTTTTACGCAGAAAACGCAAAATCATTAAAATCCATAAGTTCCTGAATGAATACCACCTCGAAATTTACAATTTTATTGGATATCATTTTTAAATTTATACATCATGACAACGCATATTTGTGGAATTGCATTCTGATTCCATAGAAGAAATTTCAAACGGTCTCGAGGGAACACAGATTTTAAGAGAGCATATTATATTTAATTTTCGTCGTTGAGAAACGTTCTCATACCTTCTAGGCGATAGGCAGAATCGAACGAGAAACCGGGTCCACTTGTACGACTGCTCTGTACACATGCTAGTAGTCTCATGTTTATATTTTTCTCTTGCTAGGCGCTCGGAATATACGGTACATTCAAGTATTAATATAGCATCGGCTCATAACGCATAAGCCGCATTTCAAGCATTGAAAATAAGTGGATTAGTGCAAAAAATAAAGGACGGAATGTTGCGATTCATTTTGTAAAAAGATAACATTGAGGACATTACCGTGGGAAACAGCTATTACGTTGAAGCAAACAACTTCAGAGTTCGGTGGTCCATTGGTGATACAATTGCATTACTCCGTAGATCGAAGAAAATTGCCAAAGAAATTAAAAAAGCAAAGACAAATCAATGATCAACTAAGTATTGTATCGATAATGTGAACGTGTCTAAATTCAGCATTCAATCTGACTTGCCTTTATACAAAAACGGAGTGAAGATATTTGAAAGAGCTAAATTCTGCAGAAACAATAAAAATTCTAGTAAATAGACAGGGCATAATTATTACATGTAACTCCGAAGAACAAGACTAATAACATCTGAGGTAACAATGAGTTAAGTAATTACAAGTGCCCATGTTAAGTCTCGAAGGTATGCGACAGCAACGAATGATTTAATTCTCCCTCGGTTGAATTCCTGAAAATGTACCGTACCTCCAGCCGGTCAATTAATTATGGTCCGTTGCATAACTCCCTCATTCTAACATTAGCAGTTTATTTATTATTTAGTGTCTCCGAAGCAGAAGGAATTCAAGCTCAAAAAGCACGGCCGTACTTTAATGGCGCTGAGATAGAAAAATCCGGCAACCACTCGGAGAACGCGACATAACGGCAACTCCAGAAGTACCCGAAAGAGTTGCAGAAATACCTTCGTCCTGATGGTAAGTCCATTGGTAAATTACCGATTCTCGATGGAATTACCGCGTAATTGATGCAGCACTTTAGCCATGCTCCTTAACGACGGATCCCATTACGTGGCTCGTGTTAGATGCATTAATTAATTTCCCGTAATTTCCTTTTCTTTCCTCTTTACTTTGAGCTCGCGGTTGTCTGCGATATCAAGCGAGTTTCGTGTGAACCGGTAAAAGCACCGATGGAGGTTTAATTGTCTTGTTAATAATAGCATTAATTAGATTCCTACAGAAGCGCGGCATTAATTTCACACCGGGCCGCGCACTCGTCTCTCTCACCCTTACTCCCTCCTGTCCTTAGAGACTTTCTACTCGGCTTGAGAAGATTTTTTTTCGCTAATTTACATGAAATCAATGCATCGACTAGTTTCCCGTCCTCGCCAAATGACTCCTATCCGCTCCCAACTTGGTAATCCACGGGGTTGTCCAATACGCTTATCAGATTAATTAAAGCGATTTTGCAAAGACTAATTGGAAGCTGCGTAGCCATGATGAAACTTGTATTTTTTTCGCAGACTGGGTATGACACTACCACGGTTTATTTCTATCGTTATTAGTGGAAGTCATCGTATCGCGCGAGAACACGAAACCCGCGGAAATTTCAATTCGTGATCGGCAACGCGAGGCGAATTTACTTGGACAACAAATAATTCGACAGCTGTTTTATTAACACATTCGCGACCGCTGACGTGAATTCACGTCATTTTAAATTCTATTCCTGATTGCCGCTGACGTGAATCACGTCCATAACGATACACGATACAAGTTTGCGGCAACCAATTTCAGAATTTCAATATTTTCGCCAGTACTCAGTATTTGAAACGGAAGAAATTTGCCGGTCGCGAATGTGTTAAATTACATGTAGATATAAATTTCAGGGTATGCAGCGGTGACTTTCCAAACCCTGGTTGTTAAACTATGATTTCACCATTTATCAATCCTACCAACGTGGTCTACGGTTTGGTGAAACCGCGCACACTAAGGAATTGCTTCCATGGAGAGACTCTCGGTTTCGTCCTCGTAACCTCCACTCCACCCGTGAGACTCCTGCACCATCCATACGCACGCTATTTAATTAATCTTTCTCGCAGGGCCGATCGCGTGTACCGCGAAATTCATTCGGAATCGCCTCCACCGTCTCTTGCGCGAATTGCGCCCCTTAACGAATACAAATGCAGTCTTTTAATTCGGTACCTCGACGGGACCCATTCAGGACAGATGCTGACGTATGCCTTCCCTTTGTAAGTCCGACAGGAGAATTGCGCGCGCGCTCATAAGCACCCGCGGACCATTGGGCCCTTATTAGCTAAACCATTAACCTTATCGTCCCATGGCAAACAGTCGCGAAACAATGTCGCTCGACGTGTTGTCGCTCCTTGCACGAAAGACTAACGGCGTTTTCTGCTACACAGCACTCGGCGTGCAACTACCACTATACATGGAAAGGCTTTTCTCAATGCGCGTGCCTCGTGGTGCCGAGAGCCTGGAATTTGTGCACGTGAGAACGCGGGATATGTATAAAAGTTCTAATTTTATGCAGATTTCATTATGTGCGCGAAAAGAATATTCGTGAACATTTCTTATAGTGGATTAACGGAGGTTGATGAATATAAAGAGTAGGACAGTCTTCAAATATAGATTCTTTATCGGTGGTTTGCTGCTTTTTATGTTCCGTAAATAACCAAATAAGTAAGAGCCATATTGAAAATTTTGTAACTTTTTCTCGTAACACGTAAACGATGGGTAAAAGTACCGAGCGTAGCTAGGAGTGAAAGCATGATGTAAATATACCAGGTAAATTTTTTAAAGGGAAAATAAGAAAATTGAAACTTGTTACGTTTGTAGCTGATGTATTGCCTTTGAATGTACCCCTCTATTTTATATGCGTCCAACCTACTTGCTCGGTTGTCGTCAAGACGACGTACCGATTATTAGGTCGATATTTCTTGAGCAACTCTCTGGAGTCATGACGGAGCCTCTGGAACCCTCGGAGCTCGAGAAAAGGCTCGCTGATTTGAATAAAAAAATCTTGGAAATCAAGAAAAGAATTCAACTGTCCGGTAAGACGAAAGTCGCAGAAGCGTCATTTGTGTCACTTGCAAACATTGACGCGGTATGTTTCGCTTCGAAATTTGTAACGAATTAAAAAGTTTGTGAAATCATCGACGTAGACTGTGTACGTCCTTTACCGTCTCGGACAGTAATCAATCTTTCAAGAAAGTATTCAAAGCATTGTACGCAAAATGGTACCAACATCATAGCTCGTATTGGACCCTGCTTTCATACGTGCATATACACTAGCGTGCACGTGCTCCCTCATTGTTCGCCGCTGGTCGAGTGATACAGAAATGCGCGATGAATCAATTCGCGGGTCCATAGAAATGCAAATGCGATCGTAGATCGTGGTAAGGGGGCAATCTATAAGTCCACAGGGGTGTTCTCATATAAGGACGTTTTATTCATGTAAGCCATCGCCCTGGTGCTCAGAGACAGATACCATCGAGATCGTAGACGACGTGGTCTTGTTTTACGGGGAAATCGAAGTTGAACTCTGATCTCCTGGCATGTACACATTATACCCCGATATTTTAGTGTGACGATTCCGAGCAGCATTCTTTTTGAGACGCAGAGATTTAACGATTAACCGCAATTATCAGAAAAAACGAGTTTTGTGCCTAGTGGGAGTAATGGCTTTAAATATAGAATAACGTTTAGTTCCTGATAATTAAATAATGACATAATGTGAAATTCTTTTATGCACTTAGAGGGCCAGAGGAAAGCAAACTTTGAGCAATGCGACACCAAGAAGCAGGGCAATGTAGAGAAGATCGTCACTCTGAAGAAGGAGATCAAGGACCTACTGGCGGAATATACGAGTGCAAAAAACGTACTGAATTTTACTATTTTTATTTGTTAGACGAGATGAGGTCGATTAAATGATATTCCATTTATTTTCGATATGTGTAAGCGTTAGTATCACTGAGTAAATGATTTTCTTTATAGGCGAAATTAAAGACGTACCGTCTTGCGTAAATTAAAATCGGCGCCGGCACCGATTTGTCTGCCAAAATCAATGTAACGTTCATTTATTTAGATTATTATCATCGAAAATTACCGGTGCCAGCACAAATTATGACAGTTTTTGAGTAATATTGAGCTAACCTAATCTTATAAATTCAGAGTTTATTTGAATAATTAAGATATTTTTTAAAATCGCCACTTTTTAAAGAAAATCAGCGATTTTTTAATTAAAAAAAATGATTTTTTATTAACCCTGAACATCAGACTTTAAGTATATTGTTTCTCGGCTGGTAGAGAAATATTATTAATTCTTTCAAAGTCATACACTTTTTAAAGTCAATTTTTCATTTGAAGAAATTTATTTACAAATAATTTACTAGCAATAAATAAAATAAACTTGGTAAAGATATGCTTAAAAAATTGAGTATACTGTGAAATTTGTATTAATTTCATACAATCAACCATACCATTTATTTTGTTAAGAATAGTAAGTAAAATTCTATTTCATACAAGAATTTTCTTTTTTCTACTAAGTGAGTCTTTTACTCAATACACACAAAAACTTGTACAATTCTATAAGAAGATTCCTAATACAATGATATAATTATATTCATGATACATATGTCTTTTTCGAAAATAATGTTACATTATTCACAAAATTCAATTCTTCATATTTAACTTATTTTATTGTAGAACGACGAAACTGCAGAGCGAATAAATCAGGCGAGTCGCGAATCCTCTGCGCAGTTGAGAAAGCGGAAATACGAGGAAGCTATACAGACTGTAGATGAAGACAATATTCGCCTCCGAAAGAAACTGGATTTAGTCAGATACAAGAGTGATAAGGTAAAAATCAACAGATTAATGGGTGTGTACCGTCTTTCGTGATTTAACAACCAAACAAAGAAAAGAATAACTTACTGTTCAGCTTCAGAAGAAGTAGCGAAATGTAACAAATGAGCTGGTAGATAAGGATAGAAATGAAGATGTGGAATAATTTCAGCAAAAATGTAAGTTGGCGAATTTACTAAGGGAATACGAGGAATTGATGACCGGGACTCTACAGAGAATAGCTGAGAAGAAACTAGATGAACCGATGAAAAAGGTATATTAAGAAAAAAAGGATATTAAGTTAAATTTAAATCTATCGTTGAATTATTAAAATTCTCTTACTTCTCGAAGAGATATTCAATTATGGTATAAGTATTTGCCTTTCTATTGCAAATAACAATTTACAGAACAGGTAAATTATTCAGGACATAGTTCCATTTAGACTTTAACTTTTTTAATGTTCAGTGTTTGGTTTTTTTCAGAAAACCATTAGCTTGGAAAATCATCTGCACAGAATGAACGTAATGCAGATGGAGGCGGATACCGTTCGAAAAAAATACAGATCCGTGAGATCCAGCCTCAAAGCGGATGCTGCATTCTTCGCGTCATCCTTGACAAATTTGGACGAGAACATTAAGGATCAGGAGAATGAGATTAAGAGATTAAAAGTGAAGTCGCTTATTCTGTACAGTCTCCAATAATGCTGTCAGCAATTAATACTGTCATGGCATATTCTTTAGTAGGCTGTGAAGGAGGAGGCCATACAGTTAAGAGACGCCACATTGGAGACTCTGACGAATGAAGAAATCGAGGCTGTGAATACTAGCAAGGAACGGGAATGCATAATTCAGGATTTCAGGTTAATGAGAACAGAGTTAATTAATAAAAGTATTTTTTCATTAAATCATTCAAATTGATCATCATGTATTATATCCAGACAGCGCGTAGAGGAGCGAAAAATGCAATTAGAGCAGTTGGAGAGGATGATATTTCCAATAACACCTGCCCCACAAAAGGACTTAGCTGTCGGAGAGCATAAAGAGGATGCAGATGACAGTCACATAGATAAAGAGAAGGAGGAGTTGGATCGTCTTGAAGAAATTTTCGCCAAATTGAGAAATGCCACAGGGGTAACTAGAACAGAAGATCTTTTAAATCGATTTCTAGGACAGCGGGTTACTAGAGAGAGTTTGCAAAAGATGAAGCTAACTACAGAGGACGAGAAAATGAATCTGGAGAAGACAAAGCAGCAACTCACCGCTGAAATTGAGATGCAGAAGTTCTCGGAAGCGAAGGAAGCTGAACAGTAAGTTCTTTATCACATATCTTTGTCGATGTAGTCGATGGTAATTACGTTATATCTTTGTTCTAAGAAATGCTGAAGAAGTCGAGAAGATAAATCAGTTGATTCGCGAGCAGCGCTTTCGTCAAGAAAAGGCTACCATTGAGAAACAACGAATTCAAGAACTAGTGAATTTTATAGTTCGGGAACTCTGGAAATTCTGCGATCTCTTACGAGTAAGAAGTTTTACGGAGTTAAAGCAAATAATATGGCATTGCATTCGAAATCTTATAAGTCTTCATACGTTATTATTAATGGAACTAGCAGTACATACAAGGTCAAACCAATGTATTTTTGAATCATATTTATTAGATACCGTATAGCACATGTTTTCTTCCACATCATATAATTACCAGGTCAGTGGTAAAAAATTAAACGTTAGTTAACTGGTGGGATGAAAGTCGAGAAACGATTCAATTAGCGTGTACCATACGGTAGAAACTATATTGACTTTGTTCTTTCGGAAGTCTTTTCACGGGTACGTATCATTCGCTGTTACTCCTGAGGAAACATAAAAGCCCTTTGAAAGCCATCAAGCTAACCTAGAGCAAAGGAAACTATTTATTGTTCCACAAGATTAACACTCTTGGTGAATTCCCGTTTCTTGAATGCTTGTACCGCGTAATTCTCACCTGCAGAAGCAATGCGTTCGCGGCATTAGCACCTTAGATATACGATCGAAAGTAAATATTCTAAAGTAAATGTTCGCCTCAACTGAAACCTTCTGAATATCGATGGTGATTAGCGACCCTCTTTTACTCGAACAGCAGTACTCGTTAATTATCCTTGACTTCCCTGATTCTCACTTCCTCTACTTAAGAAAGAGGTGAATGATCTGTAACTTAAAAAATATTTTTTAATTGTCAATAATTGTATACCTTATGTTTTACTAATACTTAATAGCACGCAAAGAAAAGTTATTCGCACAATTCTACATGCATAAATTAATTCATATCCTTTATCTTATGCTTTTGTTTCAAGTAACTTGTAATTCGTTAATCAACGTTTTCTAAATCCGTTTGTCGTAATGCGATATTTACACCAGAAACGTATAGGAATACTGATGTTTGATTTATCATTTGCGAGGAGAAACAGTTCTTCATATTACAACCTGGTTAATGACATAATAGTACATTATTTTATAAATGTTACTAGTTTTATTGAAAAATTGGTGTATACAAATTATTATAATACTACAAACGACATAAATGACTACTGATCATTATAATTGCAGGATTCTGGCGATTCTCTGGTACCGGACGGCTCAACTGATATTTCTAAGCCACTACAGATTCTGGAACTGCTGGAGGATAAAATGAACAGTGCTATCGGGGAATTGGGAGGATGGGATAAATACATAGAACTATTGGTTGATGCCGTGATCGAAAAGGTTTGTTGAGTTATTCACGATCACAGTATTCCAAATCGCATTCTCTTATTTATGGGTAACAGCTCATTAACGTTAAATATCGGGCCTTCATTTCGAGACACCGCTCGTTTCGTAGTATGCAATGGAAGGAGTTACGAAAAGAGATGGGCCATATTCGTGACACAAATTGTCGTTTAACCCGTCGTGTCGAGGAACAACGGCCGAAATTCGTTTCGCGTGGTCCAAAACGCGCCGCCCCGCAGCCTGTTTACAGTACTGTAAATTACGTCACTTGAAATGGGTCTCGTGTAAGCGGTACAAGCGTATTAATCCGTAACCATCGGTGTTTCCATTGGTCGACAACGTTTATGGTCGAAACGACGGCCAGTTCGGAATAAGGTTTAACCACGACCGCGTCATAATCGGCAGGTCTCAATGGACTGAGGTTCTTGTCCATTTGTTATCTGTTTCTAATCTTCTGACCCGGAATTTTCTTAACCGTAGTAACGAACAACCGAACATTCTCTAAATTTTGATTCAACATAGGTAATAAAATATTGATGAATTGGTTACGCTGGATTTATGACAATCTATATTTTGAGATAAATTTATTTACATATCTTATTATCAGTTATCGGTGAAAAATTGACGATTGAAATAGGTTGGCGAATACAATATTTTGATGTACGCGTATAAGAACAGATTGAATGTTAACGCCCATAGTCGAAATTTATTGTTGAAACCAGGGTTTGGTGTCAGATATGTCCCGAACATCCCGTTTCACGGCAGTAGTCTACAATGAGCGAAGATCTGTCTTCTTTTCTTGATACTTGTTACCTCATGCAAATAATGGCAATATAAACTTTTAGGTTGAATATTTTTTATATACGTTAAAAAATATTCCTCTACCTTATTTCACTATATATTCTTTTACACAGATGAGCATATAATCATGCTCATTTGTTCAACATAATGTTGTAATTTTAATAATTGAAGCACACTTATTCTGCAGCTAGATACAACGTCCATTGAAACGGAATCCGCTGACGAAAAGGTCACACGGGTAGAAGAACCACGGCTATTTCGGAAATTCCCGACGATGACGGTGGCCTCGACGCAACCAGCACCGCCATCCGAGGACGAGGAAGAAGTTCCCTCGAGGCAGGCAGTCAAGAGACAAGCACAGTTGCTGATAGACACTAAGAAGAATCGCCGAAAGGGTTTCCATGTCAGAAGATAGGCCCCCTGGTGCGATTAAACACGTGTCTCCCTTTTACGATTGCCGTTAATCGTCTTTTTAATACTAACCGGGAACGAAAAATGTGTCGTAAAACAATTTAATTACAATGTGTTTATTACGCGCATTCCGTTAATTTAAAAGCAGTCACCGAATGATGCAGCTTAAAATTACATACACTTTATTTTTCACATTTGCAATTTTACTGCATTCGTAAACGCTATAACGAAACCAAAGAAAATATTTTTATTGGATGAAACAAAACATAATTATACGTTTATTTGATTTGTAGTCTCTATATATTATGTCAAAGTTTGATAAAATAACAATGACCAATAAATTAAAAGCACTCAAGTAAAGAAAGGATTTTATTCGATTTTATATTTCATTTAATTTTAAATTGTTTGGTACGAGTTATGTATATGTATTTTCTAGGTTTACATTTATCAAGTGCAAACGAAGAAATTTGTTATATTCAATTATTAATTCTATAATTCGAGCACCTACGAATGTTACCACTGACTTGCATTTAATCTTCAGTCGATAAAGTAGAGCGATGGTGGTATTACGTAGTAAATTAGTACAGGATGAAACTTATCCGTGAGTCCTTGTTAATCAATTTCGTTTCATTTCTTCGTAGCGCGTTTACATAATCTGCAATTTTTGTCAAGTGTTTCATAATGAAATCTTCCGATTATATTTGGTTTCAACTTGATTTAATTGTGTAATGTGAAATACTTGTCATCTTACTTCTTACCATATTAGAAAAGTTTGAAAAGTACCCGGTGGCGACATCATGTGACGACGAAATGAATTGTTTAGGCATGCTTCGAAAATACTTGATGGTCATTTGTGTTTTGATAGCCGTACGATTATTTTATTCTAATATAATAAGGAAATATGATAGGTAAGCAATTCAATAAAAGGTATACATAACAATATTTTTAATTGATGATATACATAGAATAATATGAATCAGCTCAAATTTAAAACAATTGAAAGTAGATATTCAACGGTGTACCACTATCAATCATAAAAGTCATTACAAGATTTTCAATTTCGCGTTACATATATTATTTACAATAAATTTCCTATTGTATTATTCGGTCTCATTATACAGTAAAATAAGTAATAATGAAGCGTGAAAAAAAGTCAACAAAGCCTCACAAGGTTAATTCAAATTTGATGGCACCTGTTGTATCTGAACATAACCGCGATAATGGTTGGATACACAATAATTTTGTACCGCATGGCATAACAGTGCAAAAATGGTGTTACATTCTTGAAGATGAAGACAATTATTTTATTGCTAACTCTATTCTTAATGAAATTGTACAAACGGCTATGAAAGAACTATATGAAAAGTATATAAAAAAGAAGTCCTATGCATTCGTTGTTCACTGTACTTCATTAGCATGGTTACAACTATTCAACGTAAGTGATTAAAAAACATCATATTAATATGTTTGTATAAAAATACATCATTTTCAAGTGAAACTTATTTAATGCTATAACATCTTTTTAGTGGATAGATTTAAAAGTCGATACTGGGGAAACGCCGAAATCAATAATAGAAGACTGGGCAGGTGATGAAGATAAAGATCCATTGCCACATGATCCATGGGCATGTCGAAAAGTTTTAATTCATCAAAATATATCTGAAAGACTATTGGATATCAAGTCTGCAGAAACTCTATGCACTGCTAGTTCCCAGAAAATTCCAGAAGATATGTTTACAATACCCCTTGATGAGTCCTTGGATAAACTATTTCCTACGGTAAATAAATAACAAGTACTTTCTTTTGTGATATTACGATGTGTTTATTCTATTATTTCTTCTGAACGTATGATTATTGCAATAATGGAGAAAAATAGCGCATTTGATATCATTTTGGAATCTAATAACGCCGCAATTCTGAAAAGATACCCATGAATTTTAATATTTAGAATTGATCCACATTGTAACAGTTTTCATACTTGTTATACTGTATTTAAGAGATACATCAGTCTATCTTGTACATAGGATTGTCACTTTGATACACCATACTCGTTGCATCATGTGAGTCAGATAAGTTAGAGTTAGTTCTGCGATCAGGTGTAGGATGGCGCTACGGCATTCATGATAATGTACCATAAATTGATAAGTAGAATTTTTGGTATTTATCAATAATTTTGAAGTGACTTTTACATTATACGATCTAAAATATTAGATTTCGGTCGTTTGTTTTTCCGTCGATAATAGTAGGAAGGTTTAACCAAATGAGTTGGGAGATTGCTCACGGACAGGGTCGCGGGATCACATCCTGTGCTGCCCTGTGGTTTCGTACGTTAGCTTTCACCGTTTTTCGCCACCAAGGGTGATGCAACGAATTTCTGATAGGGACGATGGCGGTACCATCTACCAGTCGCCGTTGGCGGCTCACGTACTTGTGATAGTAATACCATGCGGCAGTTGATGGTGGTGGCTTACCTACGCTTACCGATACTGCTCGCTTTTGATGGTAAGGGAAGAACACTCGTGACGCTCCATTTGACTTTATCTACTTATCTACTACTGTTAAGTACATTGTTGCCTCGAAGTCGACGTGATGCGGAGCTTTGGGGCACGCGTCGGTGTCGCATACAGAACTCTCATGCAGCGAATCTGTGTGAGTGCGATCGCTGCTAGAAATCTTCGTGCGTCCCAACCAGCCAAGCGCCAAGCTACGAGTCGAGACGTTGAGTATGTGCGTTCGGCGCTACACTTGACGAGTATGCGTGAGAGTCGAGTACTGCGAAAAATCCTCCAGAGGCTTACCTAACCGCGGATATACGCCGAGTCATTTCGCGTATGATTTTTACATTTCCCTACTAGCGTTATCGAGCGTTTTCAAGTGTTTTTAGAGCGTTTTTGAGTGTTATCTAGCATTATCGAGCGTTTTTCGAGCATTTTCAGAGAGTTTTCGAGCGTTATCGAGCGTTTTTAGTGTTTCAGAGCGTTATCGAGAGTTTTTAGTCTTTTCTAGCATTATCGAGCGTTTTCCCAGCGTCATCGAGCGTTTTCGAACGTTTTGGAGCGTTATCTAGCGTTATCAAGCGTTTTTCGACAGTTTTCGAACGTTTTTGAGCGTTTCTCGATAATTTTCAGAGCGTTTTCGAGCGTTTTTACGAATTTTCAGAGCGTTTTCGAGCGTTTTTACGCATTTTCAGAGCGTTTTCGAGTGTTATTATAGTGTTTTCGATCATTAACGAGCGTTTTCACGCGTTTTCGAGCGTTATTCGACCGTTTTCGAGCGTTTCTCGATCATTTTCAGAGCGGTTTCGAGCGTTTTCAAGCGTTATCGAGCGTTTTTCGACCGTTTTTGAACGTATTCGAGCGTTTCTCGATCATTTTCAGAGCGGTTTCGAGCGTTTTCGAGCATTTTTAGACGGGTTTTGAGCGTTACCGAGCGTTTTTCAACCGTTCTCGAGTGTTTTTAGAGTGATTCCGAGCGTATTTAGAGTGTTTTGGAGCGTTATCGAGTGTTTTCGAGCGTTGTCGATCGTTTTTCGAGCATTTTTTAACGTTTTCGAGCGTATCTCGGTCACATTCAGAGCATTTTCGAGCGTTTTTCAAGTGTTTTCGAGCCTTATTGAGTGCCGTACAGTGCCGTTGAGTGTTGTTAAGCGCAGTAGAGTGCCGGAGAGTGCAGGAGAGTTGTCGGAGAGTGCCGCAGAGTGCCGCAGAGTGCCGGAGGGTGCCTAAGAGTGCAGGAGAGTGCCGGAGAGTGCCGGAGAGTTGCCGAAGAGTGCCGGAGAGTGCCGGAGAGGGCCGGAGAGTGCCGGAGAGTTGCCGCAGCGTGCCGGAGAGTTGCCGCAGCGTGCCGGAGAGTTGCCGCAGGGTGCCGGAGAGTGCCGGAGAGTGCCGCAGAGTTGCCGCAGCGTGTCGGAGAGTGCCGGAGAGTGCCGTACAGTGCCGTTGAGTGTTGTTAAGCGCAGTAGAGTGCCGGAGAGTTGTCGGAGAGTGTCGGAGAGTGCCGCAGAGTGCCGGAGAGTNTAAAAATAAAACGAAAACTGCAACGATAGGTAAATTTGTTTAATCCCCTTTTTCTTATTTTTTAGTGAACTGTAATATTTTTTGTGATTCTGGAAATATGACATACGGAAATAGCATCCATGACCTTTGCGTTACCGTGTATCTTTTCTTTAAATAAAATAGTGCGATCGCTCCTAGAAATCTACGCGCGTCCAACCAGCCAAGCGCCAAGATACGGGTCGAGACGTTGAGCATGTGTGCATTCGGCGCTACACTCGACAACTATGCGCGAGAGTCGAATTCTGTGAAAAATCCTCCCGAGGCTTATCTAACTGCAAATATAAGCCGAGTGTTTTCGCGTATGATTTTTACATTTCCGTACTCAGGAGAGTTGCCGCAGAGTGCCAGAGACTGCCGGAGAGTGCCAAAGAGTTGCCGCAGAGTGCCACAGAGTGCCGGAGAGTGCCAAAGAGTTGCCGCAGAGTGCCACAGAGTGCCGGAGAGTGCCGGAGAGTGCCGGAGAGTGCCGAAGAGTTGCCGCAGAGTGCCGGAGGGTGCCGGAGAGTGCCGCAGAGTGCCGCAGAGTGCCGCAGAGTGCCGCAGAGTGCCGGAGAGTGCCGGAGAGTTGCCGCAGAGTGTCGGAGAGTGCCGAAGAGTGCCACAGAATGCCGAAGAGTGCCGGAGCGCGCCGGAGAGTTGCCGGCGAGTCCCGTAAAGTGCCGGAGAGTTGCCGCAGAGTGCCGCAGAGTGCCGGCGAGCGCCGCAAAATACCGTGGGTGCCGCAGAGTGCCGCAGAGTGCCGGAGAGTGCCGGAGAGTGCCGGAGAGGGCCGGAGAGGGCCGGAGAGTTGCCGGAGAGCGCCGGAGAGATGCCGCAGAGTGCCGGAGAGTGCCGGAGAGTGACGAAGAGTTGCCATAGAGTGCCGGAGAGTTGCCTTAGAGTGTCGAAGATTGCTGGAGAGTACTGGAGAGAGCCGGAGAGTGCCGGAGAGTGCCGGAGAGTTGCCGGAGAGTGTCGGAGAGTGCCGCAGAGTGCCGGAGAGTGCTGGAGAGTTGCCGGAGAGTGCCGTAGAGTGGCCGCAGAGTGCCGGAGAGTTGCCGCAGGTTGCCGGAGAGTGCCGGAGAGCGCCGGGGAGTTACCGCAGGGTGCCGGAGAGTTGCCGCAGGGTGCCGGAGAGTGCCGCAGTGTGCCGGGGAGTGCCGGAAAGTTGCCGGAAAGTGCCGGAGAGTTGCCGCAGACTGCCGGAGAGTGCTGGAGAGTTGCC